GTAAAACATGATGAAATTAGTCTCAAAGTACACTCTTTAGAGAGAGAATTTTCTTGATTATAAAATTTGTACTTTTTGGTGCTATGATGAATTAAAGTTAAAACCTGCGTTGTAACTTCCGAAATTTTTCCGAACGTATTTTTTTATAATATCTTGAAGCATTCTAATTATTTCTTGCGCTAGAAAAAAGGCTCTTAAATGCTTCTCCTTTTAAGTCCACTGATCTAAATTGCTTCTCTTTTATTTAGTTTTGGAAAATTAGTTTGGCAAAATGTGTTTTCCCAAAGGCTGGTCTTCTAGAAAACCACTTTGGAAAACTCTGACTTTTCCGAAAGTGTTTTCTCAAGATTCAACACTCATCTTTACTGAGAAATTCATATTTTCAGCCTTGTATGCTGAAAAGTGACTGACTGATTCAGAAATCACTTGGCCGATTTGCGTCAAACTCGCTAATTTTTAATGATTTGCAAATATCTTAGCAACAAAAAGGATTTTCAAAAAGCAAGCGATACTTTTTATCTTCGTTTTAAGGCGATTCGTTTGGCGTATAAATGAGAGCGGTAGCGCTTTACACAAAAACGTAGATAGGTTTGCAAAGTGGGGGTCTCAGGTTTTTCTGAAACTGAACGATTTTTCGGTATTTGAGAACCTCTCAGTATTTTCAATTTTTTTTCCGCAAAAACGCGCCCTAATTGAGCTGAAAAGGTGATATTCGAAATCAGCTCGATCAGATTTATCAGAATATGTGTGTTTAAGGCAAAAGTAATATCTTAGGGAAACTTTGAATTAGCGGGGCCTTAACTTCAGTCTACGAATTCATTATTGATTAATTTCACTTCGTTCGTTTTCAACCTTTGTGATATGTAAAAATAACCGTCACGAATATGTTTAGATAATTTTTCGTAAAATTTTATCGTACATAATAACAAATTGAATACAATGACGCCATAGGCAGAAGTTAAATTGAGGTTATACACTGAAAGATTGGAAATTATTTATGGAAAATGTTCGGCGATTTTCAAAGAGTACATGTGGGAATTCCGCGAGGATTATCTAGTTTATAGAAAATCGAATTTCCAACAATCTAGAATCCTCTAGTTGTTGATAATTTTCCAGTTTGTTAGAAAATCGCCGTTGAATTTCCATAAATAATTTTCAAGGAAGTAGAAATTTCTTTTTGATTTTCTATCAACTGGAAATTCCTTGCACCGAGTGCCGGCGCTACCAGATTGTATGGGGGTTGATCCCATTCATGCTTTTGAGCACTTTCTGGTAAACGTCTCCGATTTTCAGACCTTTCTACCGAAACTTCGCGCCGCCACTGTCTCCGCCTAAATCAAATTCTTGCTGCTACTGCAGAATTGTGATGTTAAGTAGAAACTGTCAGAGTTGATTTCAGTGTAATATGCGTGTCTTTACGTGACGCTCTCATATCTACACTAATTATAAAACAAAAAGATGAATAAGACACGTAAAAGACAAGGAAAGTGTCAGTTCTACTAATGCAGAAGGTATTAGAAGTGAACTGAAAGTTGGTCTAGAAATTCCTGGGCGAATTTCCATTTTCTAGAAAATCCCCGAGGATTTTCTAGTTTATAGAAAATCAAAATCGAATAAATTTAAATTATTTATAGAAAATCCGCAGCGATTCTCCACCTTTATAGAAAATCGAATTTATGGAAATTCAGATCGATTTTCTATAAACCAGAAAATCAACATTTCCTAGAAAGCTGGAAATTCGTCAAGGAATTTCTATAAACTAGAAAATCTCCGACGATTTTCTATAAACTAGAAATTAATTCAAGATTACAGTGTACGTCTCAAAAGAGATACTTTTTTTTGTAAACGCACACTCAGTTTCGTATGTCCCCCAATTAGCAGAAAGAATTCAAGAATTAGCATCGAGTTTTTTTCGAGTTTCTGGAATTTCAGAAATTCAGAATTAGCATCAAGTATTCAGAAATAAAAATCAAGCTTTTTCTCAATTCAAGAAATCAAGAATAACCATCAAGGATTTTTCTTAATTCAAAAATACTGAAACTGACCAGACTTTTGAGTTTTTTCAATTGAAAGAATACAAAAAAAATCAAAAACCGAAAATGTGACTTTTCTCAATTTCTTCAATTCGAAAAAGCCAAAAATTCTTTGAATTTATATCGAATCGGTTTGAACAATTCTTTAAATTCTAGTATTCAGGAATTGAAAGAATACATAAGTTTTAATTCAGAGAGTAACAATAAGAAGTCTCTGTGTAACTATAGTGGGTGTGGGATGAAGTGGGACGATGAGAGTGAGCCGCTATCTAACATTGAGCCATGTGCTACAATCCACTTTGATCCGCACAATTTGCCGATTGGTGAGTATTCTGAATACATGAGTTCAAACCGATTCCATACAAATTCACAGAATTTTGACCTTTCGAATTCAAGAAATTCATATAAAGTCACATTTTCCACTTTCCAATTTTTGTACTCTTTCAATTGAAAAAACTAAAAGGTGCCTGTCAATTCCTGAATTATTGAATCGGAAAGAGATTTTAAAATTGGAAAAAGTTGCTTTCAGTTTCTGAATTGTTGAATTCTTTGAATTAAGAAAAAGCTTAATTTTTATTTCTGAATACTTGATGCTAATTCTGAATTTCTGAAAGTTCAGAAGCTAAAAAATAACTCAATGCTAATTCTTGAATTATTTCTACTAATCTTGAAAATTTTATCAATATAGAGTTCTGTGAACTCCGTGTCTGTGAATCTTAGATCGATAAGTTAAGTTCTCTTTCTTTCTTACATGTCAGAGTTCATATCTCCCAAAAAGTTTTTATTTGAGGTAGTTTGCCTCAAGCACACTACAGGATGGACGCCACTGAATCCACAGATAAGTTTTTCAAACACTTCTAGCTTTTAAAAATGCCTCCGTTCATCCTGATGTTTCTTATCCTGGATTCTTCATCTTTTTTAATCTTGTTTCACGGTTTCAGAACATGTATATGAACGATACTATTTAAACAGAATTGAGGAAAAATTCACAATGAGTCGAGTAAAACCGTATTTCATACTTGCGGTTTCATGCGATAAGATGCGCGTTATTATTAACATAGAATGAACCATCTAACATCTAATTTGAACTCCTCCCTTCACCCGACGATATTACTTCAAATATAAGTTAAGAAAATGCTTTTTACTACATGCAATATTTGCGATCGAAGATCATGTCCGAAATCATGCGACATCTGTTGAACTGCAAAGACATTGCATAATTCTTATTCAACAAACAGTGAGAAAGGAAAGAAAAAGTATTATCGTCGGCGGCCATTTTTGGCAGGTACTATTGGCAGGTAACTTCTTACAAGCGTGATTCACTGTAAATTTCATTAGGAGAAAAGTCCATGATATACCGTGGAGTTTTCGTCAACAACAAAACATGTAACAAACATGAATAAAAAATAATCAAACCTTTCTTTATTCTGCAAAAATAGCTTGAAGTCCACTAATTCCAAGGCAAAGTATGTACAGATGAAGCACGACGCGTATTCTTACTGAAAAAGCTTTCAAAATACAGTGTAAACAAACGCTTGGAGTTTTTATCTGTTTTCCAAACAGGCTAACATCTTACGCGATGAGGGAAAAAGTGTATCTTTCTTCTGAAAATGAGTTTCGTAGAAGAGCTTCAGATGGTAGTGAGAAGCTAAAAAGTAATTTTTCTACGGCGAGTGAATAATGTCGTATAGGCAAAGAATCCAAAAGCAATTCCGGATAATAATCTTGAATAGTGTCTGTAGTCCTAATTTATCTCAACAGAAAGTTATGAATTAAATTTAAAGATAAATGTTACTCATCTTAGAAAAATTTATTTCTGAATCTTCGCAGAAACACGTATAATAAATACACAGCTGTGGGTATCAAAAAAATAATTAATACATCGCACAAGACATAAAAATAGAAGTGGTTCAAAAAAACAAAACTAGATCATTAATGGGTAAATCCATGGGAAAACAACCACTTTTTGGAAAAACTTTTCTTTTGAACTTTTTTCGTGCTGGTTGGGTGGGAGGTGATCAGAAAACATCTTTTATCATAAAAAAATGGGTACTTGTATGCGAAATTGTGGGAGATCCAGGCCATTCTTTAGGAACATCTCAGTTTTCTCATGCGCACTCAACCGTGAAAGTACGAGAGTCTCAGAAAATTTTCTACATAGTCTATTTTGTAGAGCATTTTATGCTGGTCTTTTTGGTAAAAAGACTTTCATTTTTCGTCGAAAAATGACGGAGATACAGTCAAAATACTAGAAGCCCTAAAATTGGACAAGCTCTCAATATATTGCTTTGGTGGTTTCAGAGTGTTGATAAATTTTAGGGCTTTTAGTATTTTGACTGTATCTCCGTCATTTTTCGACGAAAAATGAAAGTCTTTTTACCAAAAAGACCAGCATAAAATGCTCTACAAAATAGACTATGTAGAAAATTTTCTGAGACTCTCGTACTTTCACGGTTGAGTGCGCATGAGAAAACTGAGATGTTCCTAAAGAATGGCCTGGATCTCCCACAATTTCGCATACAAGTACCCATTTTTTTATGATAAAAGATGTTTTCTGATCACCTCCCACCCAACCAGCACGAAAAAAGTTCAAAAGAAAAGTTTTTCCAAAAGGTGGTTGTTTTCCCATGGATTTACCCTAATTTGTTCATTCACAACTGGGGAAATGTGACTAAAAATAAAAATAACGGCCCTTGAAGGCCACTGGCCGTTGACGTGATATTAAATTACAGCAGTTACATAAATAAATAAATAATTGAAAAAAGACAACTGTATACACATTAATTTGAACACAAAAACAAATATTATTATTTAGCAGCACGTCTACTTTCTCTTTCAATAACATATTTATTAAATGTAATAACATATGTTGTGCCTCTTGGTCCTTGATGTGCTGCAACTTTCGATAACTAAAAGTAAGTGAATGATAAAATCTCAGAAGAAGCAATAATGCTTTCTATTCTCGCAAGGAATATTAAAAATTTCTACTTTGCTGTACTACTCTCATTTTGAAAACAAACATAAACAAATGAAACGAAGGTACCAGTGCACAGTCAACAATCCTTTACCGGAAAAAACAACGCAACAGAAAAAAAAAATAGCACACTAACGTCTCCCGTCCCAAGATTGTCTTATACAAACATTAAACTTTTACACACATACAAGATAAAGCACCATTTCCTTCTGTTCATCCATCAAACATCAATTTCAGAGAAAACAAAAAACGATAACTGAGGCTCTTTCGAAAGATAAAACGAAGGAATGTATACAAAGTTAAAAGAAAAAAAAGTCCTCCTCCCCTTGCCCTTTTTCCCATTGATATTTTGGGATGAATAATAAGAATAATGAAATAAAAATAAAAACTAATAATAATATGTTTGTCTTTTACCAGTATAAAATTCAGATTTTTTGCGGATATTTATCATTCTTCCTCTTATCTAATTAAGCCATTCGAATACTTTGAATTATTTGAAATACAGTTACATACAATTTTACTGAACAAATGCTGCGCATATCAGACTACCTAAAATTAAAATAGTAAATTGTTATTTATCGTAAATTTTTTCGACTGCAGTATCAAATTTTACCTTTGTCTTTTGGTATCGAAATGAATTTATTAACTAAACATTCTTTTCCAATAATATAATCTGAATAAAAAAAATACACAGCTTGTTCATTCACTTATGTCTATTACTTGTTCAATTAATTGATCAACAGCTACTTTTATATCGGCAGGAAAGTCAATATCATAAACTGGAAATGTGACTAAAAATAAAAATAACGGCCCTTGGAGGCCACTGGCCGCTGACGTGATATTAAATTTTACTGTTGATGATAAATTAATGGTTCCTTTATCCCATGTTGCTCCCGACCAAAACACACCAACTGAAGACATCTAAACGAAGTAAAAAGAGCTAGGAGCAGTTTTAACTTAAAACTGGAAGCAGGAAATACCTTTTTTATTTCTTTTCTGGCAAATACTCTCGATTGATGTTTTTGACAATGTTGTCTAATAGCTTCCAAATCGGTTTCACTTTGCTACAGTGCAGATAATTGCTGAGAAAAGAATTACTTGATAGGGAAGAAACTTACTGTCTGATTGTTTTTCACTTTATGAATGTTTATCAGTTTATCTAAAACACATCTTAAACTATTTTGGTTTAATTGTTTATCAATTACTGCTGAAATTTTCGTTTTATTTTCTTTTGTTTTGTTTGTTTTTAATAATAAATTCCATTCGCTTAAAATCTAAAGAATAAAACAGATCTCTTACGAAAGTGCCGTCAGATATATTTCTATATAACTATAAAACGATATTTATATATTACTGTTTGTTCATTCAACAACTCCGGATAAAGTTGTGCTTTGTCATTGATTGTTAAAAGTAAATGTTTGGACATTTGTTTTCTTCTCATTAAAAATGTAGTTTCTTGTAATTGTTTGATATGCACCATCACACTTGGTTCAACGTTTGCTTTCTTCTTCTTACTAATTTGTGATACTCTTGTGCATAGTTCACTTTTAAGTGAACTATATGTTTGATCAATGGTTGAGTCATCTGACGACGAAGCTGATGAGTTATCTTTTGATGTTGTACAACTGTTTAACGATGGTTGTGAAGGTATAGGTTTTGGTGCAATGGAACAAGCTGAAATAGAAAAACTTGTGATCCTCCGTTTCTTTCAAGAGAAGATTCTTACGTGGAGTAAAAGACGATGCTGGAGTCAGTTGTGTTTGCTGAGATTGTAACGCACGTGAATATGGAAGCACTATAGAACAAAATACAGCAATAATTTCTCAGTACTGTGTTCTTACATATCACAGTAGCAGTATCGTCGTCCGTCAAAACGGCCGCACGAGCAGCCATGCTTTTAACTTTGTCTGTGATATTTTTATAAAATTGTGCTTTTGAATCTTTCTGAATTGAATTATCATCTCTTTGTGTTTGTTGTGTTGTTAACAATAACGAGGTTGCTGGTACGGAGACTTCAGACTGTTTTTCAGTGCTCATCAGTGATTCATACATATATGTTTTAAATAATTCAGCATGTTCATCGGTATCTACAGCTAAAACTTTTGACGATGATGGTGATTCTCTCGTTGTAACGACAGTAATCTCATTATCATAATGCAATGACATAATCTTGTCTTCTTCTTCATCCATCTTTTTCCTCTAAAAGAAGAGAAACACTTTCTTTAACTTTATAAATAAGACCGAAAAAGATTGGTGTACATAGAGAGCTGATAGCTAATGTATACTGCTGCTCATGTATGCTGATAGTTAATGTATTCAACATTTATATTATCGTCTACGTGATTTCCATTAGCTGTCACGAATCCACGTGTTTGCTGCTACCACGATTAAACTTCTGGAAAGTGATGTGTACTCACATTTATTGAGATTTCATTTAAAATACGATTCACATTGTCATTCACTGGGCTTTCTTTAACACGAGCACACTTTACAACTGAGTTCTGATTTTCCTAAATATAGCAAAAAAAATAGTACAACTGTATTTAAGACATAGTATATTTACCTCGTCAGTATCTGTTTCGTAACTCTCGATTTTCTTTACTTCTTTAACATCAATAGCTGCAGTTGTTTTTCTTTGTTTTTTCTTTCGTTTTGTTAGTAATCCTTGTTTACGTTTCATCTCTTGTCGAAAATTACTGATTGATTCAGCTAATCGCGATGATAGATCAGTCTAAAACGTGACCAGAGAATAACTTTTTATTAGAAAATAGTTCAAACTCTTACCAATTTAAAACCATCCTTTTTTGTTATATTTGGATATTGACGTACAATAGCAAGGCTAACATTTTTGTAATCAATCTGACCACTTATAGCTGGATATCCAGATAGCATGGCGTCTCTTGTTTGATTGAAAAATTTTCTGGAAACTCGTTCAAGGTTTCCTAGCAATAAGAATGTTAGAAAATAAAATTTACCGCAAGTCTGACGTGTAAAACAAAGGTATACCTTCTAACAAAGCTTGTTCCACAGTCTCCGTATAGACTGGTAATTGACATGTCGAGGGTACATGAACATTAGATTCCTGGATTTTTGCGTTAATTCTATTTTTGGGTGGCCTTAACGGTGTTTTATCGCTGGCTACTGTCGATAGTGGGCAAGCAATAGAAGATGAAGGTTGATCACTTTGTAATAACCTCGACCGATATAATGGACTGACTTGTTCCGTCGATGGTGATAGAGTTGGGTTGGAGAGAGTTTTGGGTGTTGATGGAGATGATTTTATAACAGGAATAGGAGAGGTAATAGACGTTGTTGGTGACATTGTTGCTGATATGGAAGATAAATCTAAAAGCATCGAAAACATCATCTGTAGTAACTACTAAGCAAATCAGACTTCTATTTACCAAAGAGATGCTTATTTTTTTTATGTCCACACAGACACTGATTGTTGCTGCTATCGTCATTAATATAACTAATACAATGGTCCGTATCCGGACACTGACTGCACGTGTTTTTAAACATGATCTGAAAGTTAAAAAAAATGTAAGAAGATTTTGACCGATAAAAAAATACATATAAAACTTTCCGACATATAAGATTTTTATTTCAATAATTTCTAGAACAGGTTAAACACGTGTGAAGAAAAGAATGTAAACATTAACAAGTTTACACATATCAGAAAGACGATACATGGATAAATCAAATACGACATAAAATATTCATTTCAAATAAATAATCTTCCATACGGTCGCAAAGCAACATACTTTACGTGATTAATCTCAATCAATTTAAGAGGCCACGCATACTTTAGATCTTGTTGAGATACACTTCCAAGTTCCTGTTTCATTCTAACTTCAAATGCTTTCACATGTGGATCGTATTTGATAACTTTAACATACTGTACCATAAAAATTGGTTGATGATCAATAACTAGAATATTTTTTATATGAACAAATTGCGGTTTAAATAATAAATACACGCTGGATACACATAATATCGTCCCGACTGTATAACTTATTGAGTCGATTTTGGCAATTTGTGCTATATTTGTTGGTGGTGACGACAGTTGCAGTTGTTCAATATCCAGGATCAATTCATCAGGAATTGTTGTTACGTAGTGTAGCATCAGATTATGCTTGAAGATGTTCGTTGACAATGTACCATCGGCATTGTAATCTTTTGAAAACTCCCAAGTTTGATGTCGCTTAGCGCAAGTAAAAGGCAAATTTTTGAAACAACGATGCTTAAAACCTCAAGCAAAGCAAAATACAACAAAGTTAACGCTGATAACCAACCATAGTTTAATTAAACCTTTGAAAAACTGATGTTTCCGTTCAGCACTCAAACATTGTGTGTATCTTTGAGGTCCAAAACGTCGCATCTGCACTGGAATATGAAGCATGAAATGAAACTTTGGTTTTAGAGTGTTTGGATAAAGTTTCTTGTAAAGTCGATTATGTTGTAAGATGCATTCTTGCAACTGATCGACGGTAGTGTCATCAGCTTCAGATGCATAAACTAAACTAACAATATCGACCAACAAGAACAAACATTCTAAAGCCTCAAATGCTGAGTTGTGTAATAGAATTTTTAATATGTAAGGCAAATTAATAAACAGATGGTAGACTTGAATAGCGTCAAGAGGCAAACCTAAACGAGTAATAAAATTATTTATATCATTTGAGAAACAAGATCTTGTAAAATACCGCCGCTTGCTAAGTCTTCTTGCTTTAAATTCAGACGTGGCTTAGCAGCAGTTTCTTCTACATTATATTCAAATTCGTTGACGGTTTTGCAGAACGTAGCCAAGGTATAATAGTTTTGTTGCACACAGTACGATATAAATGAATTAAGATGGAATTTGCAAACTCCTAAATAATAAAGAAACAGTAAAATAGCAGAAAGAAGCACTCTCGAGCCATTGCCTTGTAATAAAACATGCATCGGAACAAAAAGAACTTGCAGAACAACATCAAAATGCGGTAATGCTGAAAATATGCTTCTGTTATTGATTCCATAATGTGTTTGCCAAAATTCGTAAAACCGGTTGTTGTTATTTTTCATATCTTCAATAAGTGTGCATGCAGAATTGTAATCGTCTAATGAAACTACATTGACAATCTAAAACAGCAACAGATAAAAGCCAGCTGCGACGAGCACAAAACATCATGTTTTTCATACCTGATCAATGAAGTCGACAAAATTATCCGAGGTAACATCACAACATGGGCAAAATCTTTTTGCCGACACGGACTCTTTGCGCCCATGGATGGCTTGCTGTGCCGGATAATCACCCAACTGAAGGAATACAAAAACAGAGTCAATTATTATGTATAAGGTTGATTGAAGAAGATATCATATACCACCTACTCCAGTGGAACAAAGTCATATAACTTAATACTCACAGTTATAAACAATGCTCCATGGTAAATTTTTTCCACGCCATTGACGTTTACGCGTATACCATCAGTCGATAATTTTTTAATACCATCAAGAAAATCATCTTAAAAAGAGCAAGTAATAAACGAAGATTTTTTAAACATTTACGTACTTAAAACACGATCTAACAGCCCATGTTTTAGAGCTTTTGAATCACAAGCAGCCACTAGTCGTTTCGCTGCTTGGCCGGAACGATGATCACGATTTAAATTTAACAAAGACCAATACACGAAAAAAATTTTGTGTATTTTGTGAGAAACAGCATTAGTGATATTCAAATCATCTAAACATAGCCAACGCCGTCTCAGCAAAGATTCCCGTGAATCAGAATGATACTTGCCACAATTCAATTCTATTTTTAAAAAACTTCGGTTTTTGAATTCTGGATGGTTTCGAGCAAATTGGCCATCATGTATATCTAGCATAACACCATCATTTCTTGTATTATCAGCACTTAAATCAGCCTGAACCTCAGGCAGTTGTAAGAAATGTCCCAAGTTATCCAGGAATGGAATATAACTCCATTTAACAGTGTGATATTCGTTGTTGTTCAATAAGACCTAGAAAGAAACATTAGCAGTCTTGTGAGTACAGGAAATACTTGTTGTAGGATGAAAGTGACCTCAGTTGTATCGCTTTTTAGACGACCATAACCAAAATGTTGTTCAGCAGCTTGGGATCGTTTAACAGGACTTTCCATCTCTCTTAAAAACGATATCGCTTGGCGAGACATCTAAAAATACATTACTCTGTGAGAACGCTAATTTGCTGATTATGTATCAGAAAACATCATATCACTAGCTTACATCTGGGTGAACTAACAACCATTCCAGTAGATCAGCTAAATTTGTTGCTACATATCTAATAGCAGCCTCAGATATATAAAAACAAGCTTGCAGTGTCAGTAGAAAATGTAAAATTCGCATGATCAATGAGTTCGTTTCAGTTAATGTTGTTGCTAGTTGTTCCTCGGATGTTTCTTCTTTAATGGCCATATACTCAACATCATTCAGACTTGTGTTAATTACCATAGGTTGTGGTTGTTCGATGCTTTCTTCTAATATCTGAAGTTCATCATCTTCTGTTACGGCTTTATCCTCCATTCTATGATATTTACTAACATGTTGCGAAAACGCTCTTGCGTTCGAAAATACAGAATTGCATAAATTACACGTAATAGTAATATTTTTATTGGTACCATGAGTATTTTTTAAATGATTAACAAATGTTTTCAGATAAGGTGTCGACCAATTTGCGCATGATGGACATACAAAGTCCGTTACGTTTATTCCAGACATCTGAAGTATATTAACTTAAAAACATGAAACATTGAGTTACAACTTCAGAAAAAGCTTTAAGAGATGAAAGAATTTGACGGTCACCGTAAAGTAGAAAGAGACTAGTTTCTTTTACTATACTAAACTTTATCGCTTCTTATAATATTCATTCACATTGATCGTTACTTATATAATAATCCACAGATGCATGCATACCATATTCGGCGAAATTAACATCTCTAGACAAAAGAAAAACACCCACAAAGCACCAGTTTATAATACAAAAACGGATAAGATGTACAAAATACTTATCTAATTCAATGGAATAGCCATGGAAAAAATAAACAATAGATAATAAGTACATCGAAGCGATTAGTGATATGCATGAACTTGGTCAAAATAGATAAACCATCAGAATTCGAAACGGACTGAATGCAAGAATTTTGGTCAACCATTTTTTGTCGTTCTACGCTGTTATGTCACATTACATGAAAAATACAGAACAAGAGAAAGAAGCGAATGAGAATCAATATAAAATTCTGCCTTTCGTGATAAATACATTCATGGACTTTACCCAATGAGGTGAAAAATTTTCATTGACTTTTCTACATGATCCTATGAACAATGACGAAAACTCCTTGGTATATCACGGACTTTTCTCCTAATCAAATTTACAGTGCGGGTTGTTTCCCGCTAGCCGTCAATTTTTCCTGTCAAAAATGGCCGCCGTTACAAATATAAAAAAGGAAAAGAACAAATTTGATTGATCAATTTTTTGAAATCCAGTTCGTAGAAAAATCTATCAATGAAAACACAGAAATCGGTCTGCAATTGAAAGGTTGACTACGTCTGTCGCTAACTTATGATCTTTTCTCATTGGTTTGTACCCTTTAGTGAGAAAATATATCAATACTCGTTTTTTTCTTTTCTTTTAAGAATTTCTATTTCATAGATGTTATCACGGAGCTGTTCACATATCACGTGGTCAATAAAGACGAGCATACAAATATTTTTGTCTACTTTCGGTCTGTGTATATTTTATATATAACATGTAATTTATACGATAGACATGTCACGTGTCTACACGTGTCACACGTGTATAGAGATGTCTGTGCTTTTCTTATTTTTTCTTATTTTCGTACAGGCTGTTGATTTAAGAAGTAAGCTAATGAATAGTACATATGATACTATCCAGCCTTCGCTCGTATGTGTCGTAATTCACTGATCGGCCACGAACAGAATTCGAATTTTAACGTCCATTACTGGACTGAACTTCAACGATTCAAAGCGATTGCTAACAAGATGGCTCGTTCAAATATTCAAGACCAACAAACATTGGCAAAACAACGTTATGTACAACTGATGTGACCAATTCAAATCAAACATATTTTCAAAATTAGCAACCATTCCAGAACCCATAAAATCCTCTTTTAACAAAATCGTAAAACGGCAGTGTAGAGATATCGAGCAGGTAGCTCAGTGTTTAGAGCATAGACACGGAATGCCAAGGTCCTGGGTTCGAATAGTTTGGTCAGACATTTTTCCTTTACAGTCACAGTCGGTTTTGTTTAGTTTTCTAAGCTTTTTCTATCAGTGGATTTTGAAAAAATGCTCTTTTATACTGTTGTAAAAGTACTAAAAGTTTCGACTATATGTGTAAAATGCAATTTTGAACTTAAAAAGCGAGAGTATTTTCATAACTCTTTTTACCAAGATATAGTCCGTATTAAAATTCTTAAGTGATGCCTTATTAAATAGCGGTGATAATCTGAGAAAAACTATCATCGCCGATGGTACGTTTTTCAAAATCAACATTCAACTATTTAAAATATGATTTATCAGCAAGAGCATTGAACAGTAAAATAACAGAATACAACGTGTATTTCGCATGCGTAGAGTGTAAACAAGAACATTATGTTTACATTATGGCTTATGCAGGCTTATTGAAGAGCAGAAGTTCGTTAAGTAATCAATCTTACATCTATCTGTTACCTATCTGAAATGTCCTGCGTTAAACGTCTACTCTTACGTTTTAATAGATCTTTCAACACACTGGTAGATAATCATATTATTTGATTGCTTCATATCTCCAGAACATTCTTAGCGGGTTCACATTGGTTATAGAAGTCGTACAGAAACGACTCTGTTCCTTCTTTTAGTCCAGAAACGAAAAGTCATCATAGAATTACAGAAGGATTCTCCTTTTGGTGCTGTATTAATCAGGCTCTTCTACTTACTCTTGTTAAAAGAAATTGATA